AGATGGCTTAGCTGTAGAGTGTTTGCCTAGCATGCATGAAGCCTTGGGTTTTATTCCTCAGTACTACACAGAAAAAGTGCTATAAACAGAAAAGTGGCACTGTGGCTCAAGTGGTAGAGTGCTAGCCTTGAGCAAAGGAAGCTCAGAGACAGTACCTAGGCCCTGAGTTCAAGCCCCAGGACTGGCAAAAAAAAAAATCCCCTTTCTCTCTCTCTCTCTCTCTCTCTCTCTCTCTCTCTCTCACACACACACACACACACACACACACACACACTTAAGACAGGATGTGGAATGTAGCCTGGCTGGCCTTGAACATACCTACCTCGCCCTCCAGAGTGGTGGGATTCCAAGTATGCACTACCATGCCTACTTTGTTTCTCCCGCCACCTCCACCACACTTTTTGTTTCACTAAAAAAGTCTGGCTAAATGTACAAAAAGCATTCAAATCAAAACGCTTTAGAAGGGAACCAAGAAGTCAACACTTCTTAGTGAATAGGGGAGGAAAGACCTCTTCAATGAAAAGAAAGATCCAGCCGACGCCGGCGCAGGCCTGTCATCCCAGCTACTCAGAAGGCTGAAATCTGAGGATCGCAGTTCAAAGTCAGCGAGAGCAGAAAAGGCCCGCCGTGAGACTCTTATCTCCAATAAACCACTCAGAAAACCGGAAGTGTAGCACTGTGACTCAAGAGTGCTAGCCTTCAGCTGAACAGCACAGGGACAGAGCCCAAGCCCAGAGTTCAGACTCCACAACCGACAAAAAAAAAAAAAAAAAAGATCCAAAAAGATCAACTGTTAAAAGTGTTTTATGACAATGTTTTTCTCTTAGACAAGAATATTTCTACTATCACTCAAAGTTCGTAGCACATTCTTTAGTAGGTCCTTAAGACAATATTCAATTCCAATTAATGTACAGTTTGATTTAATGTTAACTTTTTAAAACAACTCCTCAAAATACATTCTCAAAATAGTGTCTTCACAATGGCCTTCTTAAAATGTAGTCTTTTCTTTTTTTCTTAAGGTACTAAAGTTTTAACCTCTTAAAAATTTTTATTTGGGGGCTGGGAAGGTTGCTCAGTGGTAGAGTGCTTGCCTTGCATGCCTTGAGGCCCTGGGTTTGATTCCTCAATACCACATAAGCAGAAAAAGGCAAAAGTGGTGTTGTGCCTCAAGCCTTGAGCTGAAGAGCTGAGGGACAGCACCCAGGCCCAGAGTTCAAGCCCCACGACTGACAATTTTTTTTAATAAATAAAATTTACAGTTTGTATATTGTTTATAAAGACAACTCAAAACTTACAAGTGATTTTCCTGTCTTTTGACTTTGTAGTAAATAGTATTTTGGTTCTTGTAGAAATTTCCTTTAGTCCACTTAAAACTTTTTTGTGCCGTTAGATATAAACATCTTTATCTAATGTGACTATAGTCTCTCCAAATCAGTGTAAAATTACGTAACATGTGTATCCACAATACATGAATCTGTATGTTTCATTGGTCTATGTATCATACTCTTTATCTTTATAACTTATTACTGTAGTTTTATTGTATTTCTTGTAAGAAATAAGCCAAATTGTCCTGTTATCTTTTTTCTTGGCTATTTACTTTTGTACATGAATTCTGCAGTTTAAGAGGTGTAATACTGCTACTACTACATAATACACAATCTCTCCTTTTCCCACAGCAGAACCCTTGCTCTGCTAGCTGGGAGCAAGACCAAAGAACACAGGATTCTGGGCTTCTTGGGATCTAGATGTGTGTTCATAAGGCTGAGAAACGGGATGAACGCAGAAAAACATCCATTTCTGGGAACAAGTTGTTTTCGTTTTTTTCTTACGCCAGTCCTGGGACTTGAACTCAGGGCCTGGGCACTGTCCCTGAGCTTCTTTTGCTCAAGGCTAGCACTCTACCACTTGAGCCACATTGCCATTTCTGGCTCTATTTATCTGGTACTGAGGAACTGAACCCAGGGCTTCATGACTGGTAGGCAAACACTACCACTAAGCCACATTCCCAGCCCCCTAGAAATAGTTCTTGAAATGAAGGTGTGTACTGGTCTTTTTTCCCCCTTACCAGATAGAATACAGACAGGGTTCTTGAAGAGGTTTTGAAGGTGGCAGAGCAAGACACAAGGAACACATCAGACTTCCACACACTGTCCACTCCAACTTTAGGAAACACACTTTAAGATTCCTTAAGTCATAGTCAATATTAATCCAAATATTAATCCAAAATAACTGAAGTTATCATTTATTATCTGCCGATAACTTGACATGTAGACAGTATTTTCTTTACAGACAGGAATATAGAATGTTTCTTTATTCAGGTATTATATTCTTCATTAAAATGTATTATTTTTCTCTCATACAAATCTTGGATTTTTCTCAGTTTATTCCCACACTGTATATAGTGCAGATTTCTTGTTGCAAATGGGATTTTTATATTTTCAATTGGCCAATACTGGACTACAGAGAGCTATAGATCTTCATTAGGAAAAATTACACAAAACTACCTACTATTATTTCTAGTAACGTTTCAACTGATTCTCTTGGATATTGTATCCAAAATCTTTTCCCCTGAAGTTAGGACTGTTATATTTCCCCTTAACCCTTTTTAGGGTTAAATGATATTCCTTAGGCAAAAGGCCTAGTCATATTGATCCTGACTTAAGTGTCAGTGTTTACTGACGTTCTCTAGACATTACCATTAACTTGTTTTGTTTTTACGTTTTCTTCTATTCCTAGCCTGAAAAAAATAAAATCAAAGTTACTTTCTAGGAAATGTTTTTCATGTATTAAAATCACATTGTGCATTTCCTTACTTTCTTTTTTACCCCTTAAGTTACAGCAGTAGGTTTTCTAATGGATAGTTACATTGTTTATGTTGCAACCCTTAGGTTATACTCTATCACAAAGTATTCATAGTATTTAATGTAATAGATTTTCAATGATAAGTATCTGACAGTAACCACCTATACAAGAATAATAAAGCTGGCTAAAAATACAAAGAACTAAAATATTAAGACTAAAAATACAAAGAACCATTGAAATGAAGAATTAGTTCTTTGAAAAGCTAAGACAAGCGTAACAAATCCTTAGCCAAATTAACCACAAAAAAAGAGAAAGAACCAAACTAATATAATCAGAGATGGCAAAGGGGATAATCACTACAAATTCCAATAAAATTCATTAGTATCATTAAGGAGCACTTCACAAACTTATGTTTTAATACACACATACTTTGATTACTAAGTAGCATAGTTCCCATCCACAGGCCATCCTGTTTCCTAGCCATGTCATCAGAGAGACCATCTAATACCACCAAGACCATCTTACCCTATCCTACTCCTATTATATTTAATAAAAACACAGAAAACAAGCTAATGGCTTACACCTATAATCCTAGCTACTTAGGAGGCTAAGATCTGGGAATCACAATTCAAAGCCAACTGTGGCAGGTAAAGTCCATGAGACTTAATCTCCAATTACCTACTGAAAAAGCAGGAAGTGGAGCTGTGGCTCAAGTGGTAGGGCACCAGCTGATAGCACCCAGGTCCTATGATCCAGCCCCAGTACCAGCACACACAAGAAAATATTCTATTCATTTAATCAATACATAAGAAACACTTAGCCAGGTGCTGGGTAGCTTATGCCTGTAATCCTAGCTACTCAGAGGATCACAGTTTGAATCCAGCCCAGGCAGGAAAGTCTGTGAGACTCATCTCCAAGTAACCACCAGAAAACCGAAATGGTGCTGTGGTGGTTCAAAGTGGTAGAGCACTAGCTTTGAGCAAAAGAGCTCAGGGATAGCACCCATTCCTGGATTTCAAGCCCCAGACCAGGGAAAGGGTGGGGGGGAGTTTATTTTAAAGGATGGATTTCACTAATTTGATTTCTCTTTTAAGTAAAATAGTAACTTGATGTCTTCTGGTCTTGATCATAGTACATCATCTAGTCAACTGAATTTCCTGTTATTTCTTAAGGAAACAGACTTTTGGTTCCCTTTCTAGGTAGGGTCAGCAATGCACTTTCAGCTCAGAAGCAGCTACCAAAGATGGACTGTCAAACATCCACAGAATACAAAGGACCAAAGTCCTTTGCAGAAAAAATTAGTTGGTCAGATAGATAAAGAAACAGGGCAATTAAATAAAATTAATAAATACTAAAAGGCCAGACTCAGAATTAAAACAAGGAAAACTAAAAAAATTCCAAAAACTAGATGGAGAATGGTAAAAGGTATGACACTGATTAAGAAATATTGTACTCATAAAATGACATGTTGAATTGAAACCCTTTGTACGACTGCTTAAGATAAAAAATTATTTTTTAAGTCCAAAACCAGACAACCTCCCACACCTTTTCCATGTTAAGTTACAGGAATAGGAAATACCAAGGGACTATCTCAATCTGTCTTCTCCACCAAAAAAAAAAAAAAAGCTCTCAAGGAAGGCATGGCTAGAGAAGACAAGTCCTAAAGTCACCTAACTGTCCCTGTGTCTAGAGGGGATATTTCCATGTTTTACAATGGTAAACAGTACCCATCTTACTCACCCAGAACCAGTATCTATGGATTAGAAGTTGCTACATAGAAAGCATCATTTTGAGTCTCTCTCATTCCCTGCTTAGGTACTAGGGAATCTAAATTTAAAAGCTTTGTTTTATATAAAAAGAAATTATCTGTGGAACATACATTTATACACATCCCACTTACTGTTTTATTACTTCATCCATACATTTATCTATTTAATGTCTCAAAATGTTGAGAAGATAAACCATCTGAATTCTTATAAAAGACAAGAATCTCAAGCACTGCTTGTCACTGACATAGATGGGTGGTCATTTGAAGATAAGTGGCTTAGAACAGATAGATCAGTGCCAGTCTCAGGTTCTCGCTGAATATAGTAAGCTACCTCCCCCCAAAAAATTTAAGGGGTATTTGAAAGAGAAATATTTCACTTTCTCCTTGGTTTTTCAGGCAAAATACTCAACAAATGAATTAACACGGTTGGGAACTTATTTGTATTCAAATGTATTTTCAGGAAGATTTCAAGATTTGACACAGGCACAGAGAAAAGGAACAAATGAAACAAGTATAAACAAGGTCAGTTACAGACTGGCCTTTGGTATGTGTTTAAAATATATTTTAGTCACACTTCTTAAAAATATGATTCAGGGAAAAAAAAATTAATTCAAGTCTTCTCAATCAGCTTGAAGTACTTGTGAGCTAAACTCATACATTAAGGCAAATATTGATTTTATATACTCATTTAATTGATTAACTGTTTCATTTAAACTGCTAATCCCAGAATAGTTTAAAAAAAATAAAATAAAATAAACATTTTATTGCTACAAAGGGAACTGGGTACACAAAATGCCTGTAAGCTATCTTAATGCAAAGTACTACGCACCATCCAATGCAGTAAAAAAAAAAAAAAAATACACAGAGCACAAAATACTTGCCCAATTTATCTCTTCTAGGGTAAGTATATACTTAAAAACTCCCAAGAGCAGCATTTAAATTCAAATGATTAGAACAGATATACTAACAATACCTATCTATTATCCATAACACCTATAAGGTAATAAAAATTAAGCATAAAAATTATACAAACAATTTATGGGATCTAAGTTTGGTAGCTATAAAAACTAAACTAAATAATCTAACCTTCATTTTATTAGACAAGTGCCAAACATTTAGAAAGAATATAAAACAAATTTTAATATGTGGAATGCATGCAACTTGAGTGTTAATTCATACTTGAAGCTATTAAAATTCTTACCCTTTCCACATTAGGACAGAAATTTAAAGCTCTGTTTAAATCTAATTCCTTATATTTAATTTTCTTCTGGTTGCTCAACCGGAAAATCAACAGGCTCCTTTGCTGCTGCTTCGTCCAGTTCTGCTTCCCCTGCTCCTTCGACTTCCCCCTCTGGATCCTCTCCCCCCTCAGTCCCACCCTCCTCCCTTCCCTCTGCATCCCCCTCTCCTTCTGCTCCTTCAGCTTCTCCTGCTTCCTCCGCTTCTTCCACACCTTCTGCTTCCCCAGCTTCCTCCTCATCTTCCTCTTCTTCAATAGGTTCATCAATCTTTTCTTCATCCTCTTCATCACCTTCTATTTGCTGATCCTGAGACTGATCTTGAATTTCAAAAGGATTTTCACCCTAAAACATGAGAAATAACTTTTATGCATTTGTCTTAGCATTAGGAGAAATTTTATTTGCTACATCATGAAGAATTTTTGTTGTTTTTGTTGGGGTTTTTTTGTTTGTTGGGGTTTTTTTGTTTGTTGGGGTTTCCTTTTTCCAGTCTGGGGCTTGAACTCAGGGCCTGGGCATTGTCCCTGAGTTGCTATTGCTTAAGGCTAGTATTCTACCACTTGAGTCACAGTGCCACTTCTGGCTTTTTCTGTTTATGTGGCACTGAGGAATCAAACCCAGAACTTCATATATGCTAGGCAAACACTCTACCACTTAGCCACAATCCCAGCCTTCAAGTTTTTTAAAAAAGCATTTCTGGATGTCAGGTGCCAGTGGCTCACGCCTGTAATCCCAGCTACACAGGAGGCTGAGATCTGAGGATCACTGTTCAAAGGCAGCCCGGGCAGAAAAGTCCGTGAGACTTTTATCTCCAATTAACCAGTAAAGAACTGGAAGTGGTGCTGTGGCTCAAGCAGTAGAGCACTCGCCTTGAGCTGAAGAGCGCAGGGATAGAACCCAAGCCCAGAGTTCAAGCCCTACGACCAACCCCCCACCCCCCAAAAAAAGCATTTCTGGATATACTAATCTGAAAAGTTTGAGAAACCACAATTCACAAGATCTAAAAGATCCTGACAACTTTTTATTTTATAATAGCCTCATGAGTAATTCCTTATATTCTTCCAGGTAAGAACAATACAGTTAAGAGTGAAAATAAAGACAGGCATGATGATGGTGTATGATCAAACTTATCAACATACACTGTGTGCATTTATGGACCTATCAAAATGAAACTCCTTGTACAACAAATTGATACTAACAAAAAATGTGGAGAAAAGTAGATTGTGTGGCAGTACTGGAATGTGAAGTAGGGCTTCAAGCTTACTTAAGCCTTATACGCAGAAGCTCTACCACTCAGTATGCAATCATATTAACTTTTTTTAAAGTATTGTCAAGAACAACCAATGTGATTAACAAATTAGAACACAGGCCCTAAAGAATTAAGTCAAAAGACTAAGCTTATTCACTAAGCTTACATCACTTGAGGGGATTGATTTGATGAACATTAACATATATATGTGTGTATATACATATGTATCATGTCAGCCTTCTTCATGCAATATATGTTAATCACCACAAAAGCCAAAATACATCTCTTTTTTGAGACAAGGTCCCACTAAACTGCAGTTTAGTGTGCTCAAGTTGTCCTTAGCTTTCTGAATAGCTGGAACTAGCACAAGCCAGAAGTCTTAGTTCAAACTAAACTTCTTTACTAAGTAAGATATAATTAACTAATATGAACTATCAATCTTCAATGCAATAGTGCCCTTCCATGCAAAAATATTTTAAATTTATATTATTTTATAGTCTCTAAAACTAATCTCTAAAATTTATATTAATTTTTGAAAGCTAGTAAGTTCTTGTAGAGTAAATAGTCACAATAAGTTATGTAAAGAAGCTTTATGGCTGGGCAACAGTAGCTCACTCCTGTAATCCTAACTACTCAGGAGGCTGAGATCTGAGGATCATGGTCCAAAGTCAGCCCAGCAGGAAAATTCCAGTTAACCACCAGAAAACCAGAAGTGGTGCTGTGGCTCAAAATAGTAGAGTGTAGCCTTGAGCACAAGAAGTCAGGAACAGAGCACAGGCCCTGAGTTCAAGCCCCATGACCTACGGAGAGGCGGGAGAGGAGGAAGAGAGGGGGGAAAGGAAAAGGGAAAGGAAAATAAAAGAATAAAGGTAACATTCTGTTGCTCTTCTCTCCAACTGCTGTCAATTTCTCAAATAACTGAGAGCTGGACAGTCCATGAAAGTAAAATCATTTTCTGCTTCTCCTCACCTCAATCTCAATCATTAGGAAGTATACAAGATTTTAACTAAAATCTTTCCAATGTGTTACATAATATTTAAATATCACAAAAAACTACTAATAGCCAGGCACCAGTGGCTCATGTCTGTAATCCTAGCTACTCAGGATGCTGAGATCTGAGGACTGTGGTTCAAAGCTAGTCCAGGCAGAAAAGTCTGTGGGACTCTTATCTCCAATAAACCACCAGAAAACCAGAAGTGGCACTGTGGCTCAAGTGGTAGAGCATTAGCCTTGACCTGAAGAGCTGAGGAACAGCACTCAGGCCCACACTTCAAGCCCCATGACTGACAAAAAAAATACTAGTATGTCATTATTTAATTATTGTAGTACTATGTATTTCCTTAAAAAATTTGCCTTAAAACCTTACCTTAACGAAACGTTCATATCGTGACTTCAATATTGGATTATTTAAAATGCTTGTTGCAGTTAAGACACTCTCTCTTTTTATCTGCTCCTTATAAGCCTATGAAAAACAAAACACACTGAAGGTACTAGGAAATCCATTCAATGAAAAGTGTTTAATTAAAACAAAATTTAAGATTCAAATCCTTAGGTTTAAGTGACATTTATAGCAAATTAGCTACAGATCTATTGCAACAATAACCTAAGTTACCCATGGTTTAAAACATTGAATATTCATAAAACATTCAGTGAAACACAGCCACCAAACACTGTAACTCTGTCCACCATAGTTGTTTCCTTCCTTTTTAATCTATACATACCTCCCCAAAACCACACACTAAAAATTTCATGCTATCAAAAAAGAAATAATTTTTCATACTGCAAAAGTAATCAGTGTTTCTCTAGGTTATAGTTATTGAAAGACTAATTATACAGAGGAGGAAAAAAGTGTCTATTGCCACAAAGATGTCAAAACAATACATGCTCCAAGAGTTAAAGAAGTTGGAATTAAATGAGATTCACTTCAATATAAAATATGAACTTAAAATCAGATATTCTTTAATATAAATTATTATTGTAAAGATACAGCGGGGGCCGGAGGCTGGTGGCTCACGCCTGTAATCCTAGCTACTCAGGAGGCTGAGATCTGAGGATCACGGTTCAAAGCTAGCCCGGGCAGGAGAGACCGTGAGACTCCTATCTCCCATAAAAACCACCAGAAAACCGGAAGTGACGCTGTAGCTCAAGTGGTAGAGCACTCGCCTTGAGCTGAAGAGCTGAGGGACA